CGAATGAGCTGGCGATTTAGCGTTGCCACGGGCATGTCGTCGAATCCGTCAATACGATAACCTATCTATCGAACTCAGGGATTCCACCCAAACTTTTCAAACGGCAATTCGAGAACACCGGAAGTCCGGCCTTGACCACTCCGGATCTAAAGGCGTGTGACTGGTGCACCCACCGCGCATATCTTGAGTTGCAGAAGGGATAAATCGACGCCAGTCACTGCTGGGTCCCTAGATCAACAGGAAAAGTGTGTCTGGTAGCGGCGGAGGGCTGGAATGGGAGGTGGGCCATCCCTGAAGTCGACATAGCTAGAATGGATTGATACTCTCCATAGTATGGGACTTTGGTGTTGGGTTGCGCTCTGAGACTGACTACCGTCACGAATTCCTTGTACTTAAATAGCTATGTTAGAACTTATAAGACCAAGTCTGGAAAAAATATCGATGCTAGCTGCCATTCCACCAGGCATTGGAGTACCGAGATTGAAAGACACCCGCGCATCACGTTCGCAGATGGCGAATTGGAAAGTGACCATTGGGGAGCGGCTCTGAAGAATATACACGTCCATTTGTCCTTGAAGGCATAGACTTGGGCACCTGAGGTCCGAAACTGATCCCCTTGCAAAGGGGGTGGATGCAATGTTTTGTTCGTGCAGAATGGGTCGCACCCCCTCTACTGCCCTTGGGCAAGACTCCCTTCAGAAATCCACTCTCACACTGTACATCCTGTATCTTCTGATCCTCCCTGATCCTCTTGCCTTCCTCTACTTTGCTTGTTGCCCTGCTTGTCATTTCTATCTCGATCCCAGTCAAGACTCTCCTGCTTGTTTATCTCCACTGCTCAGTCCTTGTCCTACCGGTCTGTTCGGGTGTTACTCGGTGGGTAAGAAACGGGTCCTGCCGAAACTCTTCGCGAAGCCTAGGAGAATGGCGCTGGACTAGATACTGGTATTTTGGATGGTAAGCCGATTGTCTCTAAACGACTTACGCTCATTACAAATATATGTGAGGGAGATGGGAATGCGATTGATGGTGCAGAAGGTATCGAAGCCGCCTGTGTGGAGACTGTGCGCAAAAAATGGAACGCTTCCACGGCTGTACGGCAACGAACCAATCTTGAAAGCTCCGAAATACCTCGAAGTGTTGCCAGATCTGTCACAAATTTACGCTCCTCCCCAACCTCACGCCTCGTCTAGGGCGTTCTGACATATATATAGTTTATTAAGGGGCCTCTAGCCGAAGAGATTGGATTGACCATGTCTAAAAGACCTGGAGATTTGCCACAAAAACTCACTTGCTTCAATTTGCCAGAAAACTTTGGATGAAAGACTGGTTTGAATATAGGTCGCATGCAACAAGAGTGGACGATTGGTTGTTGCATATGGCTAATACACTTTCCGCCTCCCGGATTCGGTGCGGCCTGCATATGTAGGGCATATGCGAGTGCCGCAGCCCTATTTCGCTAGATTCAAGAACATAAGACCATCATCCTAAACAAGGCAAAAGGTATCTACATTCAAGCCACGCGCGATCAAAGCTTCTGGGTTTAACCGAGGATCATGCTTGATAGTCTCTCCCGTCTGGTTATGTTGGAACCACTGGAATATGACCGGATCATCCGCGGTCCTAGGAGGGCCAGTAACCCTCGTCCACTGTTCCAGGGGCCTGAGCCTTGGGTCCTCGTCTGAGAGCACGTTGGTTTGTGGGTTGAAGAACCTGTATGCTGTTAAATAGCCAGCGTCGTCCTCAAAGACCTGCACTCGCCATGGACTGGGTATTTGACCCAGCAGCGCAGTGGCGTCGTGTAGCCCGTAGACGAATGCATCGCCGATCAGGGCAAAAGTTTTGGGATTTCCCGACTGTGTCCGCAGCAGCACTGGAGCGTCGTAACCGAGGAAAACACAGATGATGTCGCCTAACTCTTGTTAGCTGGCTATGAAATGATTGCATCTTGATGAGTCCGAGCCTTGGCCACTCACCAACTTCACAACCTGCAGGTCCTAACCCGATATATCCCCTGTCAGTGACAAAGTACCGTCGACCCTGAAATAGTCGCAAGGCTCGTTCCTCAGAGAATGCAATCGAGACCTTGGCATGATTATTGGAAGCGGGCAATCCGGTCTTACCCCGTTTCCCAAACAGAGCGTTTGGAGAGTCCTGTGTCAACCAAGTTTCCAAATCTGGAAACTTGAGCGTGGGGAATCTCTCTTGTACATGATTCCCAGCCACTGTCTTTGCGTATGCCACCCGAAAAGGCTCACCTGTGACATACAACGGTGCAGTGTCGAGATCGTCAGGCTCCAAAGCCCTCACATCAGCCAGCGTCTCTAAAAGATTGTCGCTTACCGGGATTGGTTTCATCACATGTGTTATTCTGGCGCATTGCACTCCGGCTACCTTCAAGAGGTCCTGCTGCAATTGCTCCTCCCATCTACATTCTGCCCAGCACCGTGAGTACCCAGCGGCGAGCTGCATGCCAACCTCTCTTCCCACCGCCGGCGGTGCCGAAAAGTCGGGCACCCACGAAGGAGTTCCGGACTGCTCTCTCCTAGCGAGAGAGCATGCCTCGAAAAGGTCAAGTCGCTGCACATGCTCAATGTGCACCAGCATGACCTCTTTATAAGCATGTGCGACCGGTAGGTCATAGCGGGGCTCGATCCGAGAAGAAAACAACGCCGGTAGCAGACCGAGGAGACCATAGACGAGATCCCGTGAGTCGAAACATGCCCTTCCATCCACCAAATTCAGAAGATTCCAAGAGATGGGGTAATTGAACCCCATTTGCGCTAGACGCTTCACTAGCCGCAGCCTCATTCGCGGAACGAGTGACTGTGGGAGGTGCTCGCTCGTATACAGGAAATTGACTGCGTTGGTAAAACGATCCCAGCTTATGGAGCCGTTTCCACAGCACAAAATTACCTCCTTGTTGAGCTGGATCTCCTGGATGACCCACAGCCGTTTGAAATAGTCTCTATCCAAGAGCTGAGCGATGCCCATCCAAGTGCCGCGATCGTACGGGAGCACCGTCCGGTTATCCCAGTGTCTTTCTGTTGCCTCAGGGGTGGCGATGACCAAATTGTCGACGGTCGTTAGGGTCTGACTCCCCAGCAATTCGAGGGTCCGCATCGCGTGGCTACCGTTTGCCGAATCTGGACCCAGCCATGCGACCACGCGCTGGGCACGCGAGTAGATATCGACCATGCGAGGAACCTGTTCGTTGCGTTCGCTGACATCCGACTGATTGATGCAGAGGGCGTCGATCCACATCGTGCGTGGTTTATCAGGGTAGCGAAGATGACGAATGGCAGAGGCGAGATTCTTCCTGATGGAGAGCTTCGAGGAGGCGGTGCCGGTTGCGATGTATACTGTTTCAGGATGAAGTGGTGAGTCCCATGCGTAGGACAAGGCTTCATATCTCGGCTCGTAGTCTTCTGTCCCTTCGTTCGACTGGAGGTACAGGGATGGATCGATAGTATCGATGGGGTGCGTCCACGATGAGATCTGTGACCCTGTTTCCGGATTTTTGTAGGAGAACAGGAATCGATAGCTTGCGCGTGCCTCATGAACATCCCAGTTTGGGGGCAGTGTTTTCTTCAACTCTGTCAGGGCCATCCGTTGCGAGACCGTCGGATGAAGCGGCAGCAGGGGAACATGTGAGATCTCAAGAAGAATGATGTCCTCAAAATGACCGGGGAGAATTGTGACAAAGCGAACGTCATCCTTATTTTGCAATTTTTTATATGCATAGTTTGGCGCCGCCTCTTCGACGGCGATTGATAAAACGTTCATGTTGGTAGGACAAGTGGTGGATGGATGCGATTGCTCTGCTTCAGTTTGGTGGGGCGTGGGTACTAAGATTACACCAGAAAGCCTCTTTTTATTAGCACTGTCCTATAAAGTTGTTTATTACAACTCACCTTCTTTTTAACTTTATTATCTTCCTTGAAGTAGCAATATCAAACTCTCAAAGCTTATCTATACTATTAGAGATACGCACAGTTAGTGGGCACTGTTCGTCTGGCGGAGAGCCTACACAGGAAAGCAGGTTGCGTGGGAGAAGCAATTATCCTAGCCAGTTGAAATGTGCCTCGTCCAGGCAGCAATTTGGCTTGAAATGACGCCCTGACCACTCCTGGTAACAATAGACGAGCCAAGACCACGGAACCAGGCCTTTGCGAGTACTTGGTTTGACCCTGGAATTTTGGCACCGCCCCTCGAAGAACGCTTGCGGGAAGTAACTTAAGGAGGTCAAGCGGGAGATTTTTGTAGAGAGACTTGGCGCACCTTCGACCTTCGATGAGTTAAGAATGCTCGAGACCGGTGAGTGGTACATCGCGCATTTGGCTTCCTCGCGATTGTTGTAGCAAAAATTGCTGTAACAGATCATGTTCCAGGATACCAGCCAGATGGTCTCGCACAAGGACGTTGCCCCGTCGTCACCATTGCAGTGCTGAGGCAGATTCTGCTGTAGCCGAAGGTACATGGTGGAGGATTTGGTTGTGAAGAAAATTCGGGTGACGGAGTCCTTTCTGTCATATCTGACACTGTTCAGTGCAGAATCTGACAACTCGAAAGCTCCTGCCCGGTTTGGACATCCGGGAAGTTCACCATTTGATCTGCCTCGTGATCACCAATATGCAATCGGCTGCTGCTATCTGCGAGAGCAAGAAATCTATTCGGATGCTTAGTCTGTCGTCGATACGAATGGTTCACATGCTGAAGTAGTAAGTGGCCGGAAAGGGGATTCTATAGTGTTCAGAATTTGGACGAGATGGATACGGAAAAGCCTGCTGTTGATACGAGTTTCACTCAAGGACAAGAGTTTTCTCGAATCTAGCTTCCTCTAACTAAAGCATGGTGATTCTGGAGAGAAGGCATCGTATTTCGACCTTTCAAAAGCCATGTGAAACATCGGAAACTGGGAACCCTGGGGGTCAAGTTGTGGGAACCTTTGCAAACTCAGGGCAGTGCTCACGCTACTCAGGGGCATTCCTTAGGGACAGTCAAACTGCGCTGGGCCGTCTGCTTCCATGCGTCCACACTTCCTCCGCGACCTGTGTCTGCAACTCCCGCTCTTCATCGCCAAGCTTGTCACCAAAGACAGTTGCGATTTGCTCCAAGCTCTTGCCCGAGGTTTCCGGAACGAAGAAGAACGAAAACACCGACGCTGCAAAGCAGAAGCAGCCGAAGAAAAGGTAGGTGCCCCACCCGAGCTTGAGCTGCATCTCGGGGACAATGACGCCGATGATGAAGTTCGCAAGCCACACCATGGCAGTCGCAACACCGACGCCCTTGGCGCGCTTGGAGTTGGGGAATACTTCAGCCGGCAGAGTCCATGCCAGGGGCCCATAGGAGCAAGCATATGCTAGGACGTAGATGTCTGAGAAGGTCAGCAGAAGGCTAGCCATGTAGAATATAGGCACTCACAGATAAGAGCGACACCGAACCAACCCATGCCTTTGTGGCTAACCCATTTGTCGTTATACTTGCTCACGATCCCGGCCATGATCATGTGCGGGATGCCCATGGCAACGCCTCCGAAGATAGCAAGCTTGCGCCGGCCCAGCTTGTCAAGAAACAGAAAGGTGGGGATACCGGCCACGAACTGGCAGATGTTGACCATGCCGCTGAGAATGAGGGACATCTCATAGCTCTGACCCAGAGCGGCGAAGAATATCGGCGCATAGTACACAAAAGCGTTGATACCTATTACCTGGATTAGTAGATTCGTGGAGGCAAGAGAGCAGTGCTTACCGGAGAATTGCTGGAAGAACGGAATCGCAAGTGCGACCATAGTCCTGCGCAGGTACTTCGGCCTGAAGAGGTCACCCCACTGTTTGAACTCAAGGAGGATGATATTGGTGTCGGCGCCATGTTCCCGTACAAGTACCCGCTCCTGAAACTCGACCTCACTGAGAATGCCTTTCCACTCCATTTGGACGCGGTTGTCTGTTTCGGGGAGTCGTCGAAGCTTCTGGAGAGATTTCAAGCTTTCTTCATCGCGGTGACGCATGGCAAGCCATCTGGGGGAGAACGGGAAGAACTGCATGCCGATGCCGACCGTCAGGGCGGGAATCATCTGCAGGAGGAAGGGCAGCCTGAACGCCCATTCGCCTGCGATATCGCGGGTGCCGTACGTGATCCAATAGGCGATAATGGCCCCGATGACAATGGATATAGCTTCCAGCACCAGCAGGGAGCCTCTGAGGTTTGGGGGTGCGATCTCGGAGATGTACAATGGGGCTCCCATGGCAAGGGTCCCCACGCCGACACCACCGATAGTGCGCCCAGCAACGAGGGTTCCGAAGTTGTGCGAGGCGGTTTGGATGATGGCCCCAACGCAGAAGAACGCCGTCGCCGCGGCGAGACCCAGCTTTCGAGAGTAGCGGTCGGCAAGCATGGGGAAGAAGAGACAGCCGACAAAGGCGCCAAACTCTAGCATACCGGTCATAAAGCCGGTGTTGAAGCCATAGTGGGCGTGACCTGGGGCCACCTCGGGGAACTGCTTGCGGAATTGCGGCATTGTAAGGATAAGAGAGATCACACCTTGATCGTAGCCGAAGGAGAAGCCACCGAAGGAGGCCAAGAGGGCGGCACCAAACACGTAGGGGGATCGCACAATGCCGCTGATGCCCTTGTTATCATAGCTGATGTCGACGATGGACTGGCCATGGGAGAGATGGAGTTCATGGTGCTCGACACTGTCGGTTTTGCTGATATTGGCCTTTGGGTTATTTTCAACCTCCGCCATCATGGTTCTTGGCTTCGATAACGGGCAGTCTGAAAGCCGATGTGGAACGGAATACCTGTGGAGTAGTGCTGGTGAATAGCCGATGGAGATTGGTGAAGAGAGGGCATCCTCATGATTGAGGAGGGAAGCGATACTTATGTATGAAAAAGTGGCTCTTTTCTTTTCATCTTCTGCCCCGACGTCTGGAGCTGATGGGCCCCGTGGGGAATATTCCGTTTTCACCTGGTTGGTTTAGAGCCACGGGGCGAAGTCTCTGGGATGTTCCGAAAGAAGGAAAGCGTTTGTAAGCACTGCTCTACGATTCGTCGGAATTTTGAAGCCCCGCTCGGACATAATAAAGCAGCCCACATCGGATTTATATTGAATACCGTCTTATGCGCGATTCTGGTAGGTAAGGAACTTTTGGGAAACCCGGTACTATAGAGTTGCATCGGACACAGCTTGCAAGGGCGCGATACGGCCGGTGAGTATAGGCCCTCCGTGTCTGCGTCGGAGCAAGAAGGGTTGTCTGCTGGCGATGCCAACATTTGGCGCTCTTTCTCGTCTAGTCCGCCGCAAGGTGAGCATTGATATCACTTCTGCACAGCTCCCGACGACAAATGAAGGTGCTATTATTCGGCCCCAGTTAAGCACACACAAAACCGGTCTTTACGCTGCGGATTTGAGCAGTGCGCCCAGCGGACAGACTCCCGTGGAGAGACTGCGGTTTTGGGTTCTTGTGGTAAGTCTGATTTCAAGGCATCCTGATCAAAATCTAACCCAAGTGTTTTTATAGCCAAACTGCATGCTTTATTCCACGCTCCAAGCCATCATTCAAGCTAGCCACGAGTGTCCACACATCGCCTCTTTTCCCACTGATCCCGTAGATCTCAACTCCGCCGCCCTCCTGACCAAGCACTGCCACGTATTTGCCGTCGTCAGTGAGCCGCATGCCGCGGATAACATCGACGTTAGTCCGCACGTGCTTGATGCTCTCCACATTCTTGCCATTCTCTGATAGCAGAATAATGGCAATGGCGTCTCCTGCGGGCAACTCTTTCGGAACGCCCTTGAGGTGAGGTTCACGTTGGGCAATGTGTCTCTCCCACCTATTGCTGGCATATAAGACGTTCGGGATAGTGGGGTGGAGGGAAATCTCGGAAGAATCCATCATGGACTGATGCAAGGGGTGGACGCTTGGAGGGACAACGGTGGGTGCAAACCCATCGATCGGCTGGATGTCTTCCGCTGGGGCCGTCGACAAGTCAAAAGGGATGACGGTGTGCGAAAGTTCACCAATGACATACATGATTGCTTCTAAGCCGAGTCAGCTAGGTTTTCGAAAGCAACTAGAGAGACATGCCATCAGGAGTTAACACTGCATGTCGAGGTCCTGTGCCTGGAGGACACTGAAGCCAGCCACATATCTCAAGCTTCATCCCCTCGCGTCGAAGAATCCACACCCGGTCCGATCCCAAATCTGGAGTATACAGCAACCCCCTTTTGTCTTCGAGTATCTGGTGTACGTGGCATTGTCGCTGTCGGGCTGCGTTCGGGCCGTGCTCAACCGACTCGTAGGGAAAATCAGGAAGAGCCTCTACCCGCGGAGAGTCTCTCAATAGGAGCCCCTCTTCTTCTGTGATGGTGATAGGATATAGGGCAACAGATCCTCCGAGATACTGCCTGTCGTGAGCGAGGAACGTGAAGTACTCGGGGTTACTTACAGTGGCGAGCGCAAGAGCAGACTTGTCTCTAAGTGTGACGACTGTCCAAACTGCATTAATCAAAAGGATGTAAGGTAGGGTAATGCATACTCACAGTGAGCAGGAGCTCCCAGGGTAGATTGCTGGCTCGTAATTTTGCATGTCTTTTTCACATGATCGATTTCGAAGCTGTACAGAAGACCGGACTCCAGACCCTCGGATAGACCAACTAAGAAATCAATGCTCCCTTGCGATGATGAGCGCTCTACCCAGGAAGCATTGAAGGGCGCCGGATAATTGGCCAGAATGCTCAATTCGTTTTCGATCAGGTCAAGGGCCAGTATGGTGAATTTGGATCTGTCACCGGAGACCAAAAGCGAACGTTTCATGGAGTGCTGTTCACTTTAGTGATGAACTGTTTGATGCAAGACTTGCGGCGACAGTGGCGTACGCGCTGGCAAGGCTTATGAACTCGATACAGTGGTCAGCGTGAACTCATAGTATATACGGCCACCAGAGTTATAGTTGGGCGCTGAAAGTGTTCGTACTCACATCGTGCGAGAACTTTCTCCTGTCAACAACATTACCATAACCTGTGCCTTTCTTTCAGCTAAATTGCTAGGAAACTGAAAGAATCGGCATAACCGGGGTATCTGCTGGTATGCCGGAGGTAACAAACTGCTCACTTACCCTTTTCCCAAAAGAGTAAATCCGATAAGGAGACTCTTCATTTGCCACTGCAACCCCTTGAATATCCGCCCTGTGGGAATGTCAATGCCTCAGGATTAGGCAATACAGTGGCCAGGCTAAACCACGTTGTTGACGTGACCATCGAAATTAATTTTTTTCATATCCTCATGCTTCTGTCTCGAAGAAGCGAATTTACTGAACCTCTTCCACCACAATGGCACCTCCCACTCATTTCAAGCTTAACACAGGCGCTCAGATTCCCACAGTCGGCCTTGGTGGGTGTCTATATTATCGACATCGAGACGGGTACTGATATTATGCACAGGAACCTGGAAATCCGAGCCAGGAGAGGTTCGAAAGGCCGTGGCCTTTGCCCTCAAGGATGGATACCGTCACATTGATGCAGCACTGTGAGATTTGCACTATTGGCCCGGCCAGTTCTCACTAACGAGATGCAGAATATACGGTGAGACGAGGTACGCGCGTTGATAACGGGTCTAATGACATTTCTCAGGGAATGAGAACGAAGTCGGCCAAGGTATCAGGGATAGCGGCGTGCCTCGTGAAGAGATCTTCATCACCAGCAAACTCTGGAACACCCACCAACCTAATGTCAAGGAAGGGTTGCAGAAGAGCCTCGACGCTTTGGGTGTTGACTACCTTGACCTCTATGTAAAGTGTCTCTGGGAAAGACGGTTCAAGCTTCGGACTAACAAACGCGATCAGCTTATCCACTGGCCTGTTCGACTGGTTCCGGTGAGAGGCGTTGCTCATTGTTCGGATTCATAAAGCTGATTCCACCACAGAACGAGACCAGCGAGCTTCTTCCCGTCAATCCGGACGGTACGCGCTCGGTTGACCGATCATGGGATCAGAACGAGACCTGGCGCCAGATGGAAGACGTGTACCGGTCTGGTAAAGTCAAGGCAATTGGCGTCGCCAACTGGTCGATCCCCTATCTGGAGGAGCTGTGTAAGAAGTGGACGGTCGTTCCAGCAGTGAACCAAGTCGAGCTTCACCCGTTCCTTCCTCAACACGAACTCAAAGATTATTGCGACAAGCTGGGGATTCTGCTCGAAGCCTACTCGCCTCTTGGCTCCACTGGTAAGCCTGACCTAACGATCTCGTCGTCGACGCCTTCTCATATAAGCTCCCTAGGTGCCCCGATTATGTCGGATCCCGATATTCAGCAGATTGCCGCGAAGAATGGCGTCACGGCCGCCACAATCCTCATCAGCTACCACGTCAACAAAGGTGTCGTCGTGCTTCCAAAATCCGTTACCGAGAAGCGCATCTCCAGCAACAGAGAGGTCATTCCGCTATCTCAGGAGGACCTGGCTCAGCTCGACGGTCTGGCCGCCAAAGGCAAGGCACAGCGTCTGAACACGCCTCTCTGGGGTTTCGATCTCGGTTTTGACGACTGGTACGGCCCCGTCAAGTCGAAGTAACCTGATATTATCAGGGTCTTAAAAGTTAGTCCCTAAAAGAGATCTGTCCGTATTTCATATAGGTTTCCAATTATGTGTCACAAGGACAAGGATATTGTCGGAGTCGAGACCGGCGTAGAGCTGCGTGAGATATTCCCAAGCAAGGACGACCACCCATACATACAAGAACAACAACGGTGTCCTATACTGACGTTTTGTGGGCGTGTCTTCTTCAGAAGCCGTCGACTTGAACTACAGCCATTTTTATCTGCATCCAGTTGTCTCGCCTTCAGGCGGTAATAACGTAAAATGAAGGTAAGAACACGTCCCGAAGAAACGTCGGAACTCATAGCCAGAGTTGAAAATACAAGCATAACCATTAAATTCTATTTATCAAGTCTATACCTTGTAAGGTGCCGGTGCGATGCCCTCTTTCAAAGCTTTTATCCGCATGGCAAGGAGCTTGGAATGGAAGCGGGTATACGGAAGGTATCCTACCATGATCCAAAAATTGTGCACTCCTGTCTCCCGGTAAGCGGTCTTAAATTCACCTTCCTCGTCGATACCCCAGATGGGACCGCACTGATCAGCAACTGTGTCGCCAAGAGTGGAACGAACAGAGTCGATGGTATTGGAGAAGCCAGTCGCGAAGACGATCAGGTCGAACTCGCGCTGACGGCCTCCATTGAGGATCACCTTGTCCTCGGTAAAACTCTCGATATAGCCCGGTTCGACTTTGATCTTGCCATTGATGATGTGCTCGCAAGCACCAGCGTCGAAATAAAAGCCCCCGTTACGCGTCTGACCAAGGGTTGAATTGCCGGTTCCACGTTGACCACGCCATGTTCGAAGGCCACGATTATTAAGTCCATCGAGCAAAGGCCGGTCAAGATCCTCAAGAATCTTGGCGTTGCGCTTCGCAAGTTCCTCGCCGGGCCCGATGGGCGTGGCAAAGAAAAGGCGGTCCTGTTCCTCGAGATCAGGGCGGTTGCCGTTGGCATCCGGCGCATAGTTGCCGATCATGCGCGGAACAGAGTGCGTCAGGGACATGATGTAGGTTGGCGACCGCTGAAGGAGGGTAACGTCGATGCCGCGGCGCGAACAATCGAAAGCCGTATCGAACGCGGAGGAGGAGCTGCCCACGACGCAGACCTTCTTGCCGACAAAATCACGCGAACTGTCGTGCGCAGTCGAGTGGCGGAGGACACCACCCTTGAAGTCTGTCATACCGGGAATGACAGGCATCATTGGGACGCCGCAGAGTGAGGTCGCCATGACGAGTTGTTTGGGGTGCAGTGTGCGGGTTTCCTTGCCTTCTTTGTTGATCACTACGGTCCAGTTTCCCTCGTTGTCTTGCTCAGCCTTGATTACCGACGACTTCGTCCACACGTTGAGCTCGAGGGCCGAGGCATACCACTCCATATACAGGCCCTGCTTCTGAGCGGGAGTGTATGTGGGCCAGTGCTTGGGGTACGCGAAATACGGCAAGTCATCGGCCCAGTGCGGAAAGTGAAGTGACAGGTACTCGTATCGCTTCTTCCAGACGTCACCAACCTCCTCGTTGCGCTCAATGATGAGGCTGTCCATGCCGAGCGCCTTACACCTGGCAGAGAGCGCGAGGCCGCTACTGAAAGTTAGCTCCTGCAGGCCAGGGGAAATCTAAAGACTCACTTCTGGCCGCCTCCAATGATCAGAACCTCGGGGTTGGCTGCGTCGACATCCTTGGCCCTCTGATTCTCCCAGCTAATCGGACCGGTCATGTGTCCGTCAGCTGGGGCAATTTCAGGGAACTGCTTAAGTTGCTCGGCAACCGTGTGCATGGTGTAGATCTTCCAGCCCTCTTTGGTGAGAACCGAGTTGATCACAGCCGAAGCAATAACGAGCTCTGTCTCGAAGGATACAACAAATTGTAGTTGAGCAAAGTCGGCGAAGGGACGGGCCACATTTGGGGCGGGTTTCAGGAACTTGAAGTTCGTGGCCCTGGTAGTGGGGAACAGGTCCGTGGCGGCCTTCAGAATTGCAGGTCTGAAGTTGAAGGTGCGGTAATCCCAGGTGAAGGAGAGCTTGTCCCGCCAAACACCTAAGCAAGAATTAAGTCATATGGCACAGCGGCGAATAAGGAGGAAACTCACCATGCTCCAGGAACGCATCAGTGAACCCCTGAGCATCTCCCCTCTCCATGACCTCAGAGAGGCGTTGCACAACGCCCTCGGCCTCTTTTTGGGCATCGCAATCGCTGGGAATCTCAACGCCAAGAGTGTCGGAAGTTGGTAGAGAATGATTGTACTTGAAGTCATACATGAAGTTGTCAGCGACGGGAGGTTTAGCAGCAGGCTCCAGCTCGACATAGCTGACGCCGACTTTGGCCTTTAGGTCGTCAATGTCGACCTTGTTGTCGATGGCAGTCTCATAAGCCGTAATGCGAGGCATGTCTGCGATTGTGAAGTTGATGAGTTGTCTGCCTCTCCATTCCCAGAGGCGCAGCTGCGCTCATTTTTCATGTATACACCAGGCCTCATTACGTCCGGCGAAAATGGGGGATGATGCGGCTGCTTTCAGCGACAAAGCATGGATCGGAGATAAAAACTTGCTGATGAGCGTTTGCCACTGTTCAAACACTTGCATCAGGTGTGGTACCACTCTTTGGAGCATCTGTTGCCAGTTGAGATCTACGGTTAAAATCGACCTATATGTGGGTTACGGTGTGTGGGTGTTTGAACATTGGCAGAGCGATGCGCGAAACACGGATCGGATTTCATTATATCCGATATCACATGACCGGGCGAAAGCTCTGCTTTGGTCCGACCTTGGCACATCGACATTTGCTCCGCCGATTTCCAGTACCACTTTTGTTCGTCAATTATACTCACCCACAGTGGACACTGACCTTAATCTCAGCATGGTCGAGAAGTTAGGACCGGACCAATCAACCATATCGGACAAAGCCTTGCGCCGTCTCCGCAGCGATGGTAATGTTGACGAGGTTTCGAGAGCTTCTAAGAAGCAGCGAAGACAGCGCCCGTGCTACAGTTGCGAAGGTGAGTCGATCCTTGGGACCGGTAGGCTCAAGAATAGAGGGCTGATCCTCGATCCCCAGAATGTCGCAGACTCAAGATGAAGTGCGATCGGCAAGGTGAGGACTAGACCGTATAGAAGTTGTCCATAGGCTGGAAGAGATATCGCAGTGCCATGCTCAAATTGTGTCCGCCGGCACCGGGTTGAATTTTGTAAGAGGGCCGCGAGCAGCACCGCACCGTCTCGGTTTGTTCACCGTCACAATAGCACGAATGTAGCTGAATTGGTATCACAGTCAAGATTCTCAAGAGCCCACGGAACAGCAGCAGGGTGTCAGACAAGCTCAGCAACCGCAGCCTCCTATCGAATCAACCCAGAACATTTCAGCCGCCTACCCTGCCCTCGACCCTCAACATGCACGGCAGGAGCAACAACCAGATCACCTTGTTCCCTCAGAGTCTCGGTTCCGTGATCAAACAATGATACCAGCGCAAGGATCCGAGGGTGGAACTGCGCTTACAACTATTCACCATAGCCACGACAACCTCGACCAACTCGCGATGCTATCCAGTGAATTCGAGCCATATACTGTTCAACGCCCTCCCTCATACAGTTCTGCTTCGGAAATTGCTGGAAATCTGTACAGCGGTCCCGGCATAGCTAGCGGTCACAGTAATCATGCCTTGCCATCCGCTGACGACGCCGAACAGAGTGGCTCCTACGGTACATTGATGCTAAGTAAAGGGGGTCGGTCAAAGTATCTGGGACCAACCGCAGGCAGTGAATGGTTGAAAGATGTATGTCTCCTACGTTTAACAGCACAGAGAGAGCTGAATTATTCTAGTCTGAAACGCAAGATGTATCTGACACTCCATTGGTTACCCGTGCTTCATCCCCGGAGCCGCCTCAAGCCGCCGTCCATGTTCAGTCTGCTGCTTCGGCTTTTGGCACCGCCCCTATTGCCTTTCCTTTCAACACATCAACAGCTCGTATCAGCACTCGGGATCTGCTTTCGCATCTGCCTCCAAGAGAGGAAGCGTGGATACTGGTCGAATCATATTATCGCTATTGTGCTTGGCAGTAAGTGCCGAAGACGAAGAATCAAAGAGGCGTCTAACATGATCTAGCCATGACGTTGCTCCCAAGACCCGGTTCCAAAAGACATTTGATCGTGTCTATAACCTGTCGGAAGGAGCTTCATCATCTCCAGTCAACCCTCAGGAGATCGCTCTCGTTTACATAATTCTAGCTCAGGGGACCATGTTCAATATTGAGATGCCCAATTATGATCCGTCAGTCGAAGACTGGCTACATCTCTCCGAACGGGCCTTGGTCAAGGGACGCTTTCTATCAAACAACATGGTGGCTGGCTTACAAACTCTGGTTGGTTTTGTTTGCACCGCCTGTAGCCGGTCGCTAATAACTGTCAGCATCTAATGGCTCATCTGCATCTGTGCGCCACCAAATGTGAAGTCTACCCTCCTCGCGGCGCTGACAAGTTGCTAGGCATTTGGACAAAGGGCGATGCGGTGACAATGCTTGGCCGCTGTGGGGGCTAGTTATGCGTTTAATTCAAGCGGTAAGTTGTAGCTCTCAAAGAGCAACCATGAAGCTTAAAGTATCTAGATGGGCATGCATCGGGATGGTGCCCGCTGGAACCTGCCCGAGGATGTCGTGGAAGAGAGACGCAAGGTGTTTTGGGAGTGTAATGCTGCCGACACCTTCCAGGCGCATTGTTTTTCAAGACCGTATGATTTTTCCATATATGGCCCATGAAAAAGCTGAATTAGGACAGGTGCGCCATTAACCCTGAGCATTGTGACACGGCCTTCCCTTCGGAGGCGCTCAACCTCAACGGGGAAAAGAGCTATTCCTTACTACGGTTTGAGCTATCTCAGCTGTCGTCCGAGTCTGTATTCTCAAATCCGAATGTAAGTCACCGCTGACCAGGCTTCAGGATCCTCAATATGGCAATGAAGGTGCGGAAACCCGCGTATTCCGATGTCATCGACCTAGACCTCCGGCTGTATGTGCCTACAAACCAAACTTTGTTTATACGGTGAAGCTGAAGTGGTCTAGTTGCGAATTTGAACGCAACCTTCCATTCTCTTTACGTTGTCGAGCAGCGCTTTTGTCAATGCCCTCTCGGTACCCTCAGTCGGAGACAGCAATTGCGGCATCTCCAGAACCATCCCGCAGGTCGATGACCATATCCTTTCAAGTCCATTCTCCTCTTCTGTCAACTTCAGCCTTGCACTGACGTCGTCTAGCAAACAAATCTTGCGCTCAACATCTCCGAGACGATCATCAATCTACATCGACCTTATTACGCGAAAGCCCTTTACGACGACGTCGATGATCGCGTCAAATCCGTCCACGCGCCTTCATTTTTGACTGTGATAGAACGATGCGCGGTGAGACGGAGCGTGAAATTTCTCTGGCCGTTATCTGACGTTACCAGATCATCATTGCCATGGTCACCGACATCCATGCTCGATTTCCGGCTGTTAGCATTCGGCAGTGGAATTTTTGGGTGAACACATTGATCCACATCACACATGAGTCCGGGAATGCTCATGCTTTCTCTAGTACCACGTATTTGGATCTGCTCTATGCTTAGGGACGTTGGTCCTCCGAGATCCAAGCAACTCTATGGCCAACTTTGTCTTGGCACAGATCGATGCAGCTATCGACTTATTTACGTCCTTAACACAACTTGGCACCAATACCCCCAGATACCACCGTAACCTACAGTGGCTTGTCAAGCTGCGTGCTCGGGCGTCGTCCAAGATCTCTCGGGCGTCTACTGCGCAAAAGGCCAATGCGGAGCGAGGCGCGGATCCGGACGTGAGAAGGAGTAGCGAAGATCGAGAGGACGGCGAAGATGTCGAACTGCTTGGGTGGCGCACCAGGCTCATCGAGCGGGCGGGTCAAGATCGCCTGACCATCCGAACGATTCGCTTCGCAGCGACGCCAACCGGCTCCCACATCACAGACATCTCGGGTCATCCACCAGACAACCGTCAGCCAGTAGGTCCTCAGGGTCAACCCAGAACCGCAGAAATGATGATGCCGAGCGCATCTCTACCCTTCCTGACTCCTGATCCAACAGATGATCTTGTAAGGTTGACGACCGAGTTGGTGATGGCCTGCGCTGACATGTCCTAGCTACGCGACTTCTGGGACCCAATGCTCCTCCAAGATATATTTGGATCCTCCCACGATCAGGCAAATGTGAGTCCAATTTGCAGATGTTTGTTTCAGCAGCTAACGACGGGTGTAGCTCTTCGGAAACAACGGATCTGCCTGGTGGGAAGCCGACGCGACCGCCGCAGAGTCGACTCAAGCACGACCCTGAAGGTTCCCACAACTTGGGCGCGGGTTCCCAATCTTGGGGGGTGTCACACATCATCCAGAAGGCCCAAGTTCCTGGCTCCTTCTCGGGTATTGTTGCCAGGAGGAGAAGGAGTACATCATACCGAGTACCCTTAAGGGTATCTCTTTATCCAACTTGCTGCCCTCGCTAGGTAACTTTTAATTAACCAATGACGTGCGGAGTTTGGCACGCCGCTGGTCCAAATGATGAAGCACTAGTCGACGCCGTGACGTCCTTCTTTATCACCGCTTGGTAAACAATTTTGGCCCCCGGTAGGTGCCCGGGGAGTATATGCTAGGTTCCCAGCTTCAACTGCTACTGATGCGCACTTATTTTCAGAGATTGTTGCCAGGATCAAATTTTCCCGATGAAACTGCCAGCACACACTCGTTCCTATTGACCAAACTACATATGGGCAAGTCCAAGCCATCGTAATCGCAGGCAAACGGCCTCGGTCGATTACAGAAATACGAGGAACCGCTTAGCTCTGCCGCTGCAGCGGAAGTGGCGAGGGAAATTTTCGGCACTCAGGTTAGTCTTCTCATCAAGAGTATTTGTATTTGTACTTGTGACGAGTGTGGAACATGGCAAATCTAATTATAGCCGCTTAGAGTTTACTCGTGCCGAAGAGGATGGTTGTCCTCGAGTTCTTTCTCTGTGTGTGTGAGAGAGAGAAATGTCAGCGCCACGAGTCTTACAAAAAACAAGGAGGGAGAAAACACGTACTTGTCAAGACGCCACGAGCCTTGACTGCCATCTTGGTGGCCGGGTCCTTGAACGCCACGAGCGGCTCCATGGCCACTCGGAGATCGGTCTGGTCTTTGCCCAGCGGAGCGTCGTAGTCGACGGCGAAGACGGAGACGGTCCCGTAGCAGCCTTCGTCGACCACGCTGGTCTCGCCGGGCAGGGCGCAGTTGCCGTTGATGCAGCGGTTCACGCCCGTGGCGAGATAGTTTCCGTAATGGAACGTGCCCGTCGTGGCGTTGTATAGGGCCGAGTCGGTGAAGCCGCCTCCGGAGAAGCGAGTCTGGATGAAGGGCGGGGCGACGCAAGAGTCGTTAGTGAAGGAGGTGATGACCGGGGTGTTGACACTTTTGAAGGGATTGCACATTAGTTGTTGCGCTCTTTTCTCTCACCCCACGACTCAACTCGTGTACAACTTACTTCAGCCCATAGCCGACCGGCATCAGCCTCTTGCCCGGCTTCGTCCCATTCACGAGTTGTCCGACAATATTGGCAGCCAGCCGGCCCTGGATGGTCGCCGGGTCGGGGTGGCCTGAGGCTGTGGTCTTGTTGATCCAGGTATATGCCCTCTGCTCGGTGTTGCCTCCGGAGAAGGCGATGCCGGGGATACCTCGACCAACGGCGGCGTACGTGCCTCCCATCGTGCCGCTCAGGGTGTACAGAAAGCTGCCCACGTTGGTCCCGTAGTTGGGCCCGCCCACGTACAGGTCGATGCTCTTGTTGGCGTAGTGCAGCGGGAGCACATGGTCCAGGGCCACAAAGGTGCACGCCGCGGGGGTTCCGTTGTAGTACCAGATGTCCGGGTCTATGGGGTCGCGGCCCAGCGCTGGAGCCCCCGCGGGCACCAAGTCGAACTCGGAGGCCGTCGTCAGATTCGGCGACGACGAGTACTCGGATCGGCCCCCTTGGCCGCTCTCGTTGTCGACCGGCGCGACGACCACTACGTCGTGCCCGTCCGCCTTGAGGAAGCGGTAGAACTCGCGGAGCTGGGCACTGCCGAACCCGTCGTCGTTGCCCATGAGAATCGAAACGGCCGCAGACCCGCCGCACAGGGCGGACATGGCGGCCACAGAAGACAGAAGCGAGAGCTTCATCTTGAACAAGAACTCGTTAGGCTGGTTGGACGACGGCAGGGATTTGGGTGAACAAAAAGCTTGCAAGCTCTGGACTCTTGAAGCTCCAAGCCTGGGAAAGAAGCTCGAGAGAGAGGAGAAGAGCAAGCTCGCTGGGCCGCCATCGGATCACCCAGTGCCATTTTAATAAACCGGCTCCCTCTCATCGAGGATCGCCGTCAAGCTTTACGATATGTTGATTAGGTTCGGCACAAACGGTAGAAACTCGTGATTGTAACGTCTCATTGAGCACACGACCACATGCCCGAGCTGGCATAGTGCGATGGCACCAGGAACCGCGAAGGATGAGGAGTCGCTGGATTGATTGGCTGACGATAAGGCATCGGCGAGCTCCATGAGGTCGAATGAAGCATTACGTAGCTCGATGGATGCTTTGCTGCCTCGGTAGCCTCATTAGCCTGTCGCGATTATCTCTGAGAGTCGCCCCAAGTGAGGACCTTTGGTCTAAGTCGATCGGGAGCGAGATCGGGGGGGTCCTGGTACTCATCATAGACCTACATTCTTCTGGAAAACTGGGTTCATACTCGGTTGATTATGCCCGTTTTTGAGCCACATTCCGAGCCCCGCAATATGCGGAGAATGCAGATTGCTATTGAGAACGCCCGAGTCAGTTATTCACAAATGGCAAAGCTGCAAAGATTCTAACACACAAAATTCAACACAACCCATTCCTCAGCACTGTCCCTTCCCCTCTCACACCATTCACTGCCTTGGAACCGCCGCCTTTGGCAGCCTCCATGATAGGTAGGCCGTTGTCGTCAAAGAAGACAGGCACACCGTTGCGGAACGAGTACTGCAGAGCGGTCGCAATTTTGGCCGCCTCATAGGCGTCATCTGGAGCGCAAGTGAGGGGCTCGTTGTCGAGGACGGCAGCGGCGAATTCAGCAAGGTCGTTGATGAATGATTTGTCGTAGAGAACAAAGGCGTCCGGTGTAGTGGCCGTACGTACGCCGTACGAGTCACGGACCTCGACACGGTTCACTGTGGAGTTGCTGTTGATGATCGAGTGGCCCTTGGTACCACACACTCGGGTCATGCCCTCGAAGCCATTGGTGAGGGTACGGCCCAAGTGAGTTGTGAGGACCTTGCCATTGGCAAATTCAACCATGCCCCATCCGTTGTCACAGTCGCCGTACTTGGCGAGGTCGCCGTAGACAGCCTGTTGACCCATAGCAACGACTCTATTTACCTGCTTCCTGGGGTTGGCGAGGCCAGACTTGACATCCAGGAAGTATCGACCAATGTCAATCTGTTCAGTGTCAGCTAATGGACGAAATCAGGATCCGCCGGACTGACGTCGTGGACACCCATGTCAAGAAATATGCCTCCTGACTGCGCAGAGAAGGTCACAAAGAAGCCTACGAGGCAGTCAGCCAGCCTATCTGGGGTTTAAAAAGGCGGAGGAAATGCTTACCAGTAGGGTCCTGCTGGTCAAGGCATGTGGACTCGACAGCATGGATCTCACCGAGCGAGCCGCTCTTGACCATTAGCTTGGCAGCACGATACGAGTCATCATCTGGGGCAGATCAGCGCCGGAAAATCTGAAGCACAGATATCGGCGTCACTCACATCGCCGGCAGAAAGGCACCAGGAACTTGAGATGGGGCTTGGAAGCAGCTTTGGCGAGAACCTCTTCGGTCGTGGCGACGTCTACTGAGATCGGTTTCTCGCACATGACGTGCTAGCAGTAGTGAGCTTCAAGTACCTCCCAGACCCATGGCTAACCAAACGCTGGGCAAACTCACCAGACCCAAGTCGAGTCCCCGGATGATCAGGGGAGCGTGAGTGGCCGTCGCGGTGGAAATGAGGATAGCGTCGGCGCCGCTGTTCCTCATGCAGTCCTCGGGATCCGAGAAGAACTTGACAGACGGTGGGAGATTGGCCGCTGCCCACTCGCCGCTGCCGGGCTTAGTGTCACAGGCGGCGACGAGCTCAATGCGAGGCTGCTGGAAGGCGAGGATGCGAGCACGAATGGCTCCGAGGCGGCCGAGGCCGATCAGGGCGAGCTTGAGACGAGGCTGAGCGACCATCTTCGATCTGTATCAACAGTGGTGGCTTGACTAGGATAGAGTAGTAGTGACTAGATGGTGGTGGGATGATTTGGGGCCAGACTCCATGGTCTGACCTCCGGGCTCTCAGCTATAAACACATTCTTTCGCGCCGGACGGTTCACAAGACGGAGGTATACTGGGTAAGAGTACCCGGCCTCGCGTCGGGGCTATGTACTGGATACTGTAGAGCCAAGTGCAACTCCGACGGTGAGCTGCAGGCGGATGGACAGGCAGGAGAATATGTCCGATGGGCCACCGGCGCTTTTTCAACCAGAACAAAGAAATCTCCGATTGTTGCTCTCCGTGGACGCACCTTGCTTATGTCCGATGTATTGACCCGACGATATCCGTTTCATATGCATGCTCCACCAAGATCATGTTGAAGCGGCTCAGGGAGGGCGAACTGTGTATACATCCTAGATGAAGGCCGAGATTCCTTCTTCTAGCCGGTGGCCAAGCCTGCCGTGGGATACAACACCATGCCAACCTTTTCGTAGTATTGACTTTGGTTTCGGTCAATTGGGGCTTCCTCTCACAGAAAGACATAACACAACCATCGACGCGGCAGGCTATGTATCTATTTGAGTCCATGGGTTGTAAGACATGCAACGGAGAACTGCAGCAAAGTATCCCTCATTGTGCTCGAGTCAAAGAACCGTGGCTTTGGCAAGGCTGCGGCCGGGTTGGTGTGATTGGCCGAAGTCGAGCCTTGTTCCTTTTGACTTGCGTAGTCTGGAAAAGGAAACTAAGCCGCATAGCGAATCAAAATGGGGAGCGTCAAAACTGGCCAGTCTTTCAACAGCCAACGCGACCTCCGACCCCCAAAAGGAAAAGAACAACTTAATTACAGTCCATCACGGAGTTCCAGAAGGAGGGCTTCCCACGGTGAGGTAAAAAAGCACAGCGCCGAATCTCCGTCAGATTGTCTCACCTAGGCCGATCGACTTCGTGCAGTTACCGAGAACGGCAGAGGATGATCTCAGGTGTTGGGGCCAAGGCACAAATCTGAGGAGATCACAGGAGTGCGCATACGACTTCTATACACTCTCCGGAACAACATTAGAAGCTCACTCATGGCGACGGCCACAGCCCCCGTCATGGAGGCATCATCCAGCCTCTCGACGACACATACTCCTCCCACGGACGATACCCACCTCTGGACTCCGGCGCAAGAGTCGGCGCTTCTTCAAGCCATCGTCCGCTGGAAACCGGTGGGGATGCACAAGCACTTCCGGATGATCGCCATCAGGGACCATCTCTTGTCCAGCGGCGCCATCGATCCGGAGGACAGCCACACCTCGATAGCCGGGATATGGCGAAAACTGGCGAGCCTGTATGACTTGGAGAAGCTGGATGAGCGGGAAGACTCGATCATCTTCGACGGGTCCGGCGTGGGCTCCGCCAGCGTGGAGACAGACGGTGGCAGCGGAGGAGGAGGAGGCCGCGGTGGCGATGAGTCACGGAGCGTCAGTAGTGCCAAGGGAGGGGAGTACTGGCGCGAGTTTGAGCTGCCCAGGGACGAGTTTGAGGAGATGCTGTGGGAAAGACGGCTTGCTCCCGAAGCCAGTGCCGAGAGCAGTCCTCTAACGCAGCCCCCGAGCCCGGATGTCGTTTCCGCAGCTACCAGGCGGGAGAGCACAGTCGCAGACACCGACGAGCCGCGGAGCTCGCCGGTGAGTGTCTCGGGTCGGGCGTCAGGGAGAGGGAGAGGGCGCGCTTCGGCCCGTACAGGCGGCGGTGGAAGGTTGTCGCGGCTGCAGAACGAGTTGGAGACGGAGAAAAGCGAGAGGGGCGGGAGCAGAAGGACCAGCAAGGCTCCGAGCGTGGTGGAGCAGGAGGAGGACCGGATCATGGAGGACGCGGACGAGGACGGCGAAGAGGAGCAGGAGGAGAGCGGGGCTGGGGAGGAGGAGGAGAGCGAGGAGCACGAGGAAGAAGAAACCGAACAGAAGAGGAGCGGGCCTTCGAAGCGAGGACGAGGGGGAGGACGTAGAGGGAGAGGCAGGAAACGCCGAAGATGAGCATGTGATTGAGACAAAGACAAAGAGAGACCGCCTTCAGTTTGGGGTCGTGATCCATTCATATCCAGCCTTGCGCCCGGCTTGAATCACAGGGGAAATCGGGGATGCCATTCACGTTACCGTGGAAAGCCAATGGTACCTCACTATAGCCGCTCTGCACGAGGGTATCAAACCTGATTGCGCTCCAGGCGCACTAGAGAAGGACCAACACGGTTGGAGTTATCAGTCCCGTTATCAAATCCATCCTTCCTCCAACCGTTCTGCCTTTACAATTCCTCCTAGGCCGCTGCTGTGACCTGCTGTCTCCCCTTGTCTTTGTCACTACTCCTCTGTTTCTTAAAACACCCGAAGCTATTTCGACTCCCGTCCCTCAGTTTCTTCAACACGATCCGCATATCACCGAGTTCCTGCTGCAATCTCGTCCTCGCGTCGTTTGTCGTCCTCTTGTCTAACTCCGTGTATATCTGGCCTTGAATCTCTCCTGCCTTGGGTGTCGAATAATGCGTCATTGTCTGCGCGATGAACTCCGTGTCAAGAGTTGCTTGCATCAATGCAGGAAGGCTGTATGTGTTCGGTTTGCGATCTTTGAACCCGTCAAGGAGGGCTTGCGAGATATTCTCGAGCATATAAGACAGGATTTCCCCAAGCAGAGGGCTGTTCGCGCCTGTGGTGCTTGGGACGGTCGTAGAAACTTCCGTGTGGACCATCACTAGTCTCATCAACGCGGCATAGACATATGGTCTGACTTGGTCGGGTTTCGGATTTGTGGGCACCCAGCTTGGAGAGTTGATGCCGTCTTTGATGATTTGTGTTAAGTTCGCAACCATGGGTCGGGTGTATGCGTGGAACAATTTCGCGTCGATTTGACCAAAGACGTCTTTGATGGTTTTGGACTCTTCCGCCAGTTTCACAGAGAACGAAGACTCAAACAGTTGAATAAGTGCGGGTACATACTCATTCCGCAGAGCTTTCAGGTTCGACATAGTCAACAACAAGCGCACATTGCGGCTAGAGGCGTTGACGGCATCTTGCATCAACGTTTCGCTTGGGGCAGCACCGACGGCAATTGAGTTAAGGCTCGTCACCAAGACCCAGTCATCCTCGTCACCTTGGCTCAGAGCCTCTGTGTTTTCGAGCATCCCACTGACTGCCTTGTAAATGCTGCTGACGAACTGAGTCCGCACCATTTGCAAAAGCTTCGACGGCGGCGGTGTGATGATGTCGCGACCTCCTGGCTTGGTGGTCGTGTCGGAGAGATACAGCACTTGTTGCATACCTTGCAACACTTTTCTCTCAAAGGCTTCAAGGTACATGGGCATGCGGGTTTGATCGCGTTTCTCTGGGGACCTCACCCAATCCTCCATTGACTTGCAGCTTTCAGCATCTTTGCTCCAGGCTTCACAGACAGCTCTCATACATCGCTCTCGAGCTCCTGCGATCATGGTCTTGATCTTTTCATACATTGCGTTGTTATTGCTCACCGGACCCAGAGCAACCATTTCGCTAGCGCCAATTCCGACAAGGGTGAGGATCTTCTGAAGATAGTGCACAGCGCTCAGCGCGTTGGAGTGAGGTGGCCAGAATGCATAATCTTCCCACGGCTCGCCTTTCTTTGCGGCTGCCGCAGGTAGGTCGTTGGGATCTAGTCTGCCTATTCGGCCATCAGTGGGCGAAAAGGCAGCTCCCATGTGAGGGGTGGTGGGTGTACCAGCGGATCCTGGTACTGGCGAGAATAGCGACGAGATGTCTTCGGCGGGCGGATCGGCAAAAAGGGAAAAGACGGCATCCCTCAGCTGGCTGACCAGTTCAGTAGTGCCACTCCGCAAGCCGTTGGACTCCGATTCGGACATTTGGAGATGCTTGCTGCTCTCCCCTTCGTAGCCAGTGGGCAAGCTTTTCTGTTTGCTGCCATCGATGAAAGACTGTGCTGTTTCCCAAAAGTCGACAACCTCCCCTAGCAGCCCGCTCGACAGCGATAGCAGCTTCGTGAAGTAAGTCAGGATGCAGTTCCAAAAATCGATGACATCCTCAGTGTCGAGAGCTTCGGGTCGCTCCTTGGACGCTTGCCGCAAAAAAGCCGCAACGGTCTCGGAGGATGGACGTTCTCCAACTGCCAGTCTGCGGCGCAGGATCTCGATTTCAATCTTGGATCTCTCCACGACTGCAGCAATCTTGTTCTTCAAGAAGTCGTATCTGCTCAGGAGATACACCCAGATCGGACTCTCCTCCACACCCAGATGTAACAAGACCGTGATGAGCTCCATGTGCTCTTCCGCTTGGGAGACGCCGGGAAGCGGAAGAGTGGCCGATGTGCTGGAAAGCCTGCGCCAAATGTCCCGCTTCAGGACCTTTATTTGTTCATCCACGTTTGACCACATTTTACCAACGATGACAACTCGATAGACTTCATCATCGGTAAGACCCCGGCCGGTTTGTTTCACCTCTTCGCCCATGGCTCGGGCCTCGGCAGTATATCGACGAGCAGAGTTGTGTAGCTCTACAATTCTGTCATAATCTCTCTGGCTGATAGCTTCACTCAAGCTCGAACCCAGCTCAAAGATTGCCCTGTCCTTTTCCAACGCGTTCAGAATGACTTTTAATTTGGCTTCTCGTTCCTTCCCACCCAGAGCTGGTCCCCAAACATCCTCGGCCTTTTGGCTGACCTCCGACAGTGAGATCTTCATCCCTTGCACGCCATAGTCCGTCTCCTTGCGTAGCGCATTTTTGCTCGGCCGTTGAGAGGACGTCATTCCAGTGGCGCTGCCACCGCTGACGTTTCGAAAGTGGATGCCACTCACGCGACGAGAATGGCGAGGAGACGGGGGAGTATTAGCATGCGAATCAATGCCCTGATTGCGCATTTCCGTATAGACATTGTCAATCGTCGCTTTGGCTCGGACGAATCGTTCAAAGTTGGTCTCCACCAAAGCTTTGAGTGGCGCCGACTGCTGGTCAATGGACCTGGCCAGATATTTGGATCCCTGTATAAGGTCTTCTGTGGTGTCGTTGGAGTGGGTTGTCGACAGAAATAGTTCGGGAGAAAATGTGGTTGAGGAGAGCATGAATTTGTTTCTGTAGCGGATATCACTTTCCACTGGTTTACCAAGGTTTGTCAAAGAGGTCACCACGCTCGAGGGAGCACCCAACGGATCTGGTTCATCTTTCTGCACTAGGTTTGCTCTTCCCTCGACCGTCCTCTGGGATCCGGGGAGAAGACTCTTCCTCTCGCTAGCGGTCCTTTCCAAGGCTGAGTAACGAGAGCGAGACCGCCTGACGCCGGCGGCATCCGCGTCCTCATCATCGCTATCCAGCTCCTTCGGCCATTCTGTGGGAAACGGGTTGGGTATGTTGTAGTGATTCAGCACGTCTCGTGCCTGGGCCATAGCGAACAAGTTGAATGCGGTTCGTTCATCGATGTCCTGGAGACACAGTTTGTTGTTTGTCCAGTAGTGAGACGCCGACGACCCAGGAGGTTCGGGAGATTTCTCGGCATCACGTGCATGATTACATAACTGAGTTGGAGCTGCCCCCCCTGCAGTCTGTGATGTAACTGGCACGTTCCTGGTCGATAAAACATTTCAAAGAACGAAGCTCCACCACTTGAGCTCTGGCACTATCTTTGCAAAGTAAAGGACTGCGCCAATTTCTCAACTCTACTCCTCGCTCCATGTGGTGAACAGGATTCCTTGCTGAAGCTGTTTTGCTCCTGTCGCTCAGCACTTGCCCCGACATTTGCCCATCATGATCGCTACTCGAGCATTCGCTGCTCCAGCTCGTCAGTGCTTGCGAAAAGCTTGCACCCAGCCAACATGGGCTCCCGCATACTTCCAGGTAACTCTCTGGTGCTGCCAGAAGCTTCGCAGTACCTGATTGACTGATCCGGACTCTCCAGACTCAGCCTAGACGCTACGCTTCGACCGCGGAAGAGGACAAGGTCGCGAAATTCAAGGGCAAGAAAGGATCAGACGGGAACTATACTGTGACATTAATAGAAGGAGATGGCATTGGTCCCGAGATCTCGCAATCCGTCAAGGACATCTACAAAGCTGCAAAGGTGCCGATTGTGTGGGAGCCTGTCGATGTTACGCCTCGCTTGAAGGACGGCCGGACGGTGATTCCTGACGAAGCCATCGAGTCCGTGAAGAAGAACTATGTCGCGTTGAAGGGGCCTCTTGCAACCCCCGTGGGCAAAGGCCATGTCTCTCTCAATCTTACTCTCCGACGAACCTTCAACCTGTTTGCCAACGTCCGGCCGTGCCGCAGTATAGAAGGCTACAAGACCCCCTACGACAACGTGGATACTGTGCTTATTCGAGAGAACACCGAAGGAGAATATTCAGGCATTGAGCACGTTGTGGTGGACGGTGTCGTGCAGTCCATCAAACTGATCACCCGCGCGGCCTCCGAGCGGGTCCTGAGATACGCGTTCCAGTACGCCCGGGACGTGAACAAGAAGAAGGTCCGCGTGGTGCATAAAGCGACCATCATGAAAATGTCCGATGGTCTCTTCCTCAGCACCGCCAGGGATGTCTCCAAGGATTTCCCGGATATCGAATTCGACGCGGAACTGCTCGACAATGCTTGCCTGAAGATCACGACCGACCCGGGTCCGTATTCCGATAAGGTTCTGGTCATGCCCAACCTCTACGGCGACATCCTCTCCGATATGTGTGCCGGTTTGATCGGCGGGTTGGGTCTCACTCCTTCCGGCAATATTGGCGACGAGTGCTCCATTTTCGAAGCTGTGCACGGCTCCGCCCCGGACATCGCAGGCAAGGCCCTGGCAAATCCTACTGCTCTTCTGCTGAGTAGCATCATGATGCTGCGGCATATGGGATTGAACGAGCACGCAGTCAAGATTGAGAACGCCATTTTTGCGACGTTGAAGGAAGGCAAGGCCTTGACGGGAGACTTGGGCGGAAAGGCCAAGACACACGAGTACGCAGCTGCTATTATCAACCATTTGTAAATTCCCAGAATGGACTTGGGGCCGGGAGGTATCCGTTATGGCGGGAATGGACGAAACTGGTTGCACATCCTCGACGCCTCGGGAACACAGAGACGAGCTGGTTTAATCACGTCGATGCGTGGTTTCCGCCGCCTTCTACAAGCCATGCGAATGTGGGATGGCAAAGGTCGCGAGGATGCAGAGGCAAGACGTCACTTTTTTTCCGTACTTTGATTTTATCTGGTCTGGTTGATGTATGATCTACAAGTATCACACTAGAGCGATCCGAGTCATGCAAATAACATGTATTGATTGAACAAGAGCATGCGAGTTTCCACTGCAGGTGTGCCATCCTGTCCATTACACGGAGTACAGCAGAGCATATCCCACGACTATCTTCTGTCCTCCAATTGCCCAGACGAGAGAAGCCTACCTTGTTGATGAACACGCCCGATGGGATTGCTGGGTGGCCCGTTGGGTAAGGCTGAGTGAGGCATTTAAAGGCGCGAAATGTGTGGGCCGGAGGAAAACCCGGAATGCCCGGCACTGGTCACGGTGCGATGATGCTGGGGCGAAAGGAGGCCCACGACACGAGCTCCAGGCAAGGCTGTGAGCGTGGATTTTCTCGATCTCGTCCTTTTCGATTTTCCGACAAATCATCGAAGCCAGATCAAGCCTCCACAGGTCCAACTTTGACGACCTCTCGTTGCCTCATCTCCTTGACGCGTCGCTCCCTCTCCGCGCCCTTCTCCGCGCCCCTCTTCTTTCTCATCAACTTGTCGAACCGTCCTCGCGCTCCGAATTTGACCTTGGTAATCATGTCGCCGGCTTGTCCCTTGGACAGATCCCATTCGGTCAAGGGTTCTTCGTCAGACACCTCACGCAGCCGATTGAGGAAGTCAAGTTGCCCCTGCGAAGCGGGAGATTTGCGCCAGGAGGACGACGTGGCGATGAATATGCGTTCAAATTTCTGGGCCGCAAACGTGTCGGCAGCGTGGAGGGCGTCACTGAGCGTCGCGGCGGTTGCCACGGTGCGAGGACGGGACCAGGGAGATTTGGATGCCTCGGTGGGGGGAAGAGAGTGTTTCCATATAACAAGGAACGAGGCGTCATGGGACCCAGGATCAGAGTCGGGTTTGCTCCTAGGGGAGTTGGGGGGAAGACGGCGTTCGAGAGTGAGAATTCCGCCTTTGGCCGCAAGAACATATTTATAGGAATCGATTTGGACCCAGGCATTGGGGGACATGGCTCGCAGGTGTCGTTCGCCTGAGGTATCTTCGATGAGGTCGTGTACAGAGTCATAGTGGGTAAAGTCGAGTTGGTGATTGCCGGAGACACCATTGGAGCCAATAAGGTGTCCTGATACTCCCGAGGAAGCCTCTTTCTCAATCCGGCTATCCTTCAAAGCTTTCAAATCGCCCACTTTGGCTGACTTGACCATCTCAGACGGGTCGAGGCCGAAAAGGGTCGGAACTGTTATGATGCCAGTCTCCAGGGAAGCAACCATATCAATGACATGACAGTCCTTCTTGCCCGGATATAATCGCATACCGCGTCCAATCATCTGAACAAGCAGATTGCGGGATTTGGTCGGCCGCGCAAGCAGCACGCAGTCAATATTGGGCACATCGGTTCCTTCAGTAAAGACACCACAATTCAACAACACGGGGAATTCGCGGTTCTTGAATGCATCGAGTCGTTCGCCACGGACGGTTTTCTTCGTATTGCCGGTGATCGATTGCGCATTGACACCGTGTTTTCGGAACGTGGATGTCAAGCTCGCCACGTGGTTCAGATCGACGCAGAAGACCAATGTCGATTTCCGATCTCTGGCTTCTTCCATCCATGCCCGGACGGTGATTTCGTTGGTGATTTCAGTATTCACGGCTGCAGAGAGTTGACCCGTCTGGAAATCTCCATCTTTGCCACTGCGAACTCTTGATAGATCGGCCTTCGACCTAACCGTCGTGAACATGACGTCCGAAAGCCACTGTTCACCAATCATGTCGATGTAATCTTTATGATAGACGATATGATCGATCGCCGCGCCCAGCTTGAGGCCATCGAAGCGAGAGAAAGTGGCCGAAACCCCAACCAGTGCTGGACCAGTGCCTGCTTGCTTTTCCAGACCAAAATGTTGGAGAACTTGTAGATACCCCGGAGCCACGATGTGATGGGCTTCGTCGACGAGGACCAGTTTGAACCTTTCGGGTTTGTATTTGCTCAGCCGCTCGCCGGAGACCATGCTCCGGACAGATGCCACGGTAATGTCTGCGGCACCCGAAGCATGAATGTCTCCCATCTCAATGTCTATGCTCTTTTCAGGGTATGCTCTTTCACAATGACGTGCTGCTTGCTCAACGAGCTCTCGCCGGTGGGCAAGAATGAGGGTCTGCTGCGCAATTGGGGTCGGCGGCTCGATTCGATTGATCAGTTGCGTGAATATTACCTTTGGAAGCAGGGTTAGCATTGCTCACTTGTAGCCACCGCCCCGACACCAAGCGTACCGTCTTTCCACTTCCAGTCGCTAACGAGATGCCCAACCGCCTGTGGCCCTTCCCCAGATACGATAGAACCGACTGAATGCATTCTTCTTGATATGTTCGAAGTTGTATGACCTCGTCACGCACAACTGGCGGGGTGCGGCCGACGACGGTCGCCAGCGACCGATACGCAGGGTGTGGGCTCAGCAAGCATTTTGCTGGACGGCCAAGTGCAAACAGCCATCTGGAGGATATTATCATAATCTAGCACGACACATCGTGGGACGATTAATGGCTTGGGGCAGAACGCGGTTTAGACACGGGAGATTTATTTTGCGTCAGATCATTGGACATCAACTACTCCACCAGCCTAGTCCAAATCAGAGCTCATCATCGCCGACCGTTGGAGCCACAGTCAACACTCCAACACACTAGATCCGTCCTCCTTTTATGCACATTTGACTGGAGGGATTTGTTGCTTGCAGCATTTAAAACTATCCAGCAATTGATATACAGGAGGTTGCAGCTGTTCCGTTACTGGTAGTATGACCAGCCGCAGAAGAAGCATCATCCCCGCAACAAAGACTTTCAACCGATTTGCCTGCTGAGGCGAACCTTCAACCGGACCACTTTCAGTATTGTCCCCTCATGTCTCTATCCAGCTCTTTCAGTGACTCAGAGCTTGCCACTGTTTTGTGCCTGGCCAACCGCCTCTGCAAGAACACGTCTGCCCCAACGGGATTGGATTTGTCGAGTGGAGGTGAGTTTAGAGGGACCTGCGGAACCAAAACACAGGCCGGTGCGTGTGTCTCAAAATGCCTATTTTTGCATGCCAAAAGTTAGCATGAATGTTTCATCCTGGTAGGGATCGTCGAGACGTACCACTGGTACAGCAGCTCAACTCCAGAGTGCTATTTTCGCACCGGACAATGGACTGTGATTCTGTTGGACCAGTTGTTCAAAGCAAAGTTCGGACCGAGGACATAAAAAGAAAGCCCCCAAAATTCCCGTCAGTCTCGAAAGACCGACGGAGTTTACAAGGACTATAAAAGTCCAGGGCCTCAGACAAATGTTGACCTCTTCGTCGCTCTTGGCTCCGAAAGTCGTAACTATTCCTCCCGGGCGTGAGTTGGGGTACAACTCACCCAAAATCATTGTCTGAAGCCTTTGGGCACCCAAAGAATCATGAGCTCTTCAAGTGGGATCTGCCCACACTTTCTGACTTTGGGCTTCGTTGCCAGAAAAGGTGAAAGGGCAGATGGGAGCGAACAACGAAGACGGCCAGTTGCAGGGCGGTGGTGCACAACTGCGAGTCAAGTCAGGAGAACAGCCACAAATTGAGCTGGTATCTTGCTTACCAGTGTACCAAGGCGATTCTTGACGGCGAGCGGTGTGTTGCAACCTGTGGACAGCACAGAGCTAGGCGATGGCATAACCGAGGGGGGAAGAAGACGACGAACAACTCAGAGTGAGAGACTTTGGAAACCAAGTACTGAGCATGAGCTCGAATGTTGCAAGCCAGCAGTGGAATGGTGGATAGAGGGAATCCTAAGTGGTGAGAAGCAAAGAGACGCATGCAAAGACTAATATCTGGTTCTTGGCCGGGTACAACTATTTGGAAGGCACAGCGAGTGTATTGGCAGGTATGCCACCCTGCCTCCTTTGGGAAACTACTCTTACCACAGCTGTCTATCTATCCCCGGTGCCCTGTTGCTCATTTCGTGGAGGGAAAGAGCAAAGCGTGCTCGGGCAGAGCTTTTGGCCTGATCAAACCGCAGAACACCCTTTTCCCTTTACCTGAGCGCCATGACCATGGACTCATGAAAGACCCACGATGTCCCAGATAGGTACCAGAGCAGGGGAATGAGAGACACCCGCGCTTTTACCGCTCGTGACAGACAGGAGAAGACAGGCTGTGTGTTCGGCTCGCAGCTTCCGTCTAAAGCTCGACTACATCACGCCATGTGCCACTAATCAATGGGGTGGAAGGAAGGGGAGGAAAAAGCAAGAGCATGAAAGTTGCAATTTGCTCTGCCTAGAGCAAAGTATTGTCTGTCCTTGGGCTGAAAGCACTTCTGAAGACCATGCACGCGCCTTCATATCGGGTAGGCACTTCCAGCCTCAGTCAGACCCACAAACCATCCTTCAACCAGATCTGCCAAGTCGCAAGGCTGAACTGCCCCCTTCAGTGCTTCTCCAATGTCGCTCTCCGTGGCGACTTGACATTATTCACAAACAGAAAGGCGTGTCGAAGGAATGACCAGCTAGATTGCCAGAGACAAGCATAGAACAAATATTGCGTCGAACTAGCAACGCCAAAGCAATGGCTAGGAATTGTCTCTCCATCTGTAGCACAGCCAGGTGGAGCATTTTGGGACAATATGTTCGGAGCAAAACTCATATCAATATGTTATCGGTTGATCACAACGGTATTCAGCGGCGACAACGCACCTACTTTTGGCACCTATTTGGGACAGCGGCCGGCGTTCGGAATGGATCGACACCGCCTGCAGCGCCGTTATCAACATCAGGGTGGGAAAACTTTGTGAAACATGGCCCATCCGATCAATCTGAACCTTTGGGAATAGAAGTACGGATAGCGAGGTGCTTGAAGGGAAGAAGGTGGTGCCGGTATCAGGACCTACGCCACACAGCGGGTACTGATCGATTGGTTAACTGCATGCAATTGCCTATCTGTAGTTCCTATAGATAACGACTCAACGCTTGGGAGACCAAAAGAAACAGTCCCCAGGCGACTCGGTAGGGGAGCGATCCTTTAGCTTCCCCGCCTTTCCTGTCACGTGGAATGAGCGCTAGGCCGAATGCATTAAGAGAGCCTTGTGCCCTAACCTGATAGCCTCGCACCATAGCCTCGTGCACACACCTGATTCACCTGCCATGCCTCACCCTCTCGATTTGTGAGGGTAAGGTAGGGCAGCTGAGAGAGGCTGTTCGTGACAGCCGGTCAGTTGCCGGCAAAACTTCGACCTTGTGATTGCTTGCATGGGAATTCTCGAGCTTAGTTTCGTATTTCGGTCTCCCTAGTCAAAGTTCAATTGAATTCACTCTCAACATTGGAATTTTCAAAGTCACAACGCGATTATCGCCCTGAATTGTTGCTGAGAGTGTGCCGCCTTTACTCCTCACTACTGACCACTCAAGCTCTACCACTAATGCGAGTAATAAGCCTTGATACTTCGGGGGCGAGACAACCTTGTCGCCAACCGCCCACCTGGCTCGTGCGAGATGGGGTGAGCCTCTCTAGGAGGGAATAGCCGCAGCGGTCATCATCGTTGGCCTCTCGAATGCCCAGGTCTTCGGTGAGAGGGACCTTGTATCAGTGTTCCTGTCTTTCAGAAAGTGTCCCCGTGCTTCGATGCCTTGCCTGTCTCGAACCTCGCTGCGGTCCAGTGTCGCATTCCCGATCCTGTGAAATATAACAAGGCAAGAAGCAGATAGGAGAAGAGGACAACCATGGACAACACTACGAAAGGCGTGACATATCCGGCAGACAGCACCCAGGGGAAGACCGCGTATGAGATCCCGAAAGCCGCAAAATTCTTGACACCGTTCAGAACCACGAGGACCGCATCTGTCCGTGCCTCATAGACGTCCAGAAAGTAGGTGAATAGTATGCTCAGGCATCCAATAAAGCTGAAAAATGCTGGGGGAAATCGCGGTCAGCACGAAGGCGTCCAAGGAAAGCACGGAATGAGGCCATTGACACTTACAGCCGAATGCACCTGCCATGGGCCCTAACCAGTGACAGTGATGAGCATTACAGGCACCAAAGAGCGCTGTTCCCACGATCCCCAAGACTGCCGGCAATATTGCGAGGATGAGACGCTTCTCGGGAATCACTTCACGTCTGGACTCTGCAGCGAGACGCACGGCCCTCATCTCATAGACATCCGATAGATACCCGCAAAGAAAGATGGCAGTCAAAACGCCGATGAATGGTGAAAGATTGGCAAGCCCAGACTCCTTGACATTGAAGGAGTATACCTGCTCGTAAGAAAATGTTGCGACCGTCTGCGAAGGTGGGTTAGTCCGCTGACACAAAGGACACGGCGTTATGCTTCGAGGGTTTCCATCCCGTGTGAATGATATGCACTGACCAAGAGGAATTGTGAGCTCATCAATCCGAGAGCCGCCCAGATTGTGGGAATGAAAACAACCGGATGGAGAATGTACGGAAATGGATACAAAAAAGCGGACCAAAAGCTGAGAACAGGTCAGAAAAGTAATCAACACACGAATGATTTCGTTCGCAACGCGCCTGTGAACTTTTGGCCGGCCTCCTCCACTGACGCCCCAAAAGCGCAAGTTGTCGAGCAGTGTTCGCTTCTGTCTGCTAGATGGATGGTCCCTCGTGTACTGAGTCTCGGGGTAGAACAGGAGCAGGATGAATGCACTGCCGAGCGTGGCAATGCCCATGAAGTATTGAGTCCAACGCCAACCAACAGCTCTAGTTGGACATGCCGTCAGCTGTATACTCTCGTTTCGTTTTCGTTTCGCTTCGGACCACACTCACTCAAAGATGTAGGCACCAATCAGCGGACCCAGCGCGAATCCAGACCCTTGCCAGACCACGATGAAGGTGACCACTTTCGCCCTGTCTTTCAAGAAGAAAACATCGCCGGCCACTTGAGGACCAAGAGTCTCTGGCGACGAATAGAAGAATGACGACAAGATTCGCGCCCCTATCAGAGATCCGAAACTCGTGGCCTTGGCTCCCCAGAACGCCATACACGCGGCCGCCGTGGCAGTCAGCACAAAAGTGAGGCGAACACCATAACGGTTTCCAATCGCCACCCAGACAATCGACCCGGTACCATACATCAAAGCGACTGCTCCGATGAGGTATGTCGTGGCGGCGATGGGCACAGAGAATTCAGCGGAAATGCTGTACAAGGCGGATCCATTGATGAGCGCATTCGCTGTACCGAGAAAGATCCAAAGGCCGAGCGCGTTGAGCAGAAGCAGCTTCTGAAGAGTCGGCCAATTGAGGGGGTCGTGCACATCGGCAGGGGCAACCTCTGCGACCTCGACATGGCCACCTTCATTCACGTTGGCGGGATTTGCCTCCGAAATCTTTTCGTTTGGTTGTGTGGACATTTTCTGTAATAGCGGATCTCAAAACAAGCAAGTGATTCACTGTTCGAGCACCATGAAGAAAAAAACTCGCTCTTGACGACTTTATATCCGTGTATCCACCCCTATGCAGAGCTCGGTAAGGAACCGGCACTACACTTCTGCCCCGATCCGAGTCCAAGCGGGGGTTGGTTGTG